ACAATCATCATTCCACCAGGGTACGTTCTTGATACGTCTAACTCCTGTAGTTTTAGGTATTATTTCCTCTGCCGATTGAATTATTTCATTAACTAGCTTATTGTTGAATATATTTACATCCATCTGGTTTTCCTCTAGTAGAGTCATACATCTATTTTCACAAATTACTTGAAAAACTTCCCAATTTACCTTCTCCAGTTTCCATCTAGGACTTTTCTTTTCTTGTTCATAACATATCTTTGTACCAACTGTAGTCACTACAGGATAATGGTCACTCCCTATTGTAGTATGTTTGATCACACTCCATGTACTGATCCCTGCTATTACAGTAGATACAAATGTCAGGTCAAGTGCCGTTTCTGTATTTTGTATACTGTTATATCGTGTTCCCTCTCCATTATTAATGCACACCAAACAATTATCATCAATGAATTCTTCAATAAGTTGGCCGTTCACATCAGTATTATTACTCCCCCATAATGAATTATAAGAGTTAAAATCACCACACCACACTACATTGTCATGCAAATGACCCACAACATCTTCTAAAATGATTTGACTTAATTTTCCACATGGATTATAGTAATTAATAATATCTATACACCCTCTTTCAGTCCATACCTTACTTATAATTGATTCATAATCTTTATTTATTTGTACTACCTTATATTTCATCCCATTTTGTATAAATGTAGCTATTCCTCCCCCTCTGCCAGATTCTCTATCTCTTCTAATTACATTATATCCCTTTATTATAAAATCCAATTGTGGTTTCAACCATGTTTCCTGAATACATATTACATTAGGTTTCTCTATTAAATTATCAATGTATTTCTTAAACTCTTGGCCGTTTGCAATTAAGCTCCTTGCATTCCACTGTAGTATGGTCAATAACATTAAGACGATCCAGCACATGCCTGAGAAGATTGTATCTCTTCATTAAGAGAGTCTCTAACTGTCTCCCATGGCAGCCCTTTTACATCTAGATACTTCTCTGCAGATTTGACAATTATTTTGATTCTTTCATTTCGGCTTTTTGTCTGTGCAGAACAGTTTATTATCTCTGCCATGAACAGTACAAAATCATTCTTCTTCACTATCAGAGTTTCCTCTTTCAACTTATCACATCCTTGACATGTATTTGTTTCCTCTTTCAACTTATCACATCCTTGTCACTTATTCATTTCTTTGCTCCTAATTACAGATTGTCTAACCATAGTCACATTCCCTGAAACCTTCGTTGCTGCTTCTGCATAACTGATTCCCTGTACAACCTTGATACGTTGCACTTCGGCCTGCCTCTTACTAACCTCACATCCTCTGTAAGCAGAACTGTGTTCCCCACCACAATTACAACATTTCAGCTTTGTACCCTCTTGGCATTTTCCATACTCATGTTCTCCACCACATTTACCACATCTTTGCTTTCCCTTGCACACTGCCGCCACATGTCCAAATCTCTGACATTTCTAATCGGAGGAGGTATATATAACCTCACGTCATAACACATAAATCCGATATACACTTTTTCCGGGAGTTTTTCCAGATCAAAATTGATCATAACCGAGAGACTGTCTTGTGTATTTCCATTCCTGTTTATTTTTAGACGTCTGACTTCATTTACTTTTGCATTTGTTATGTTTCTTTTCACATCTACTTATACGTTTACCGGAATCCCTGTAATGACTCCTTTTGTGAATTTCCTATAAGTCATAGAACATTCTACTTTCTTTCTATTTATTATGTTCATTTTGATTGCTTTCCCTTGCTGTCTTTCATCCTTACACATAATCATCAGTGCTCCATTTCTTAATACTTTAGCACTCTTTATTTCACCAATTTCCTTATTTAGAGATTTCGTTAGCTGTATTGGATTCATACATGCAAACGAGTCCCCTTCGTCCACAAGTTTTGCAAAAACCACATACTCCTCCCTCCGCTTCTCCTCCACAGTAGATCCCCTGTCTGAGTCACTTTCATCCGTTTTATTTTTCCTTTTATTTTTCCGTTTATTATTGCTAGCCGTTTCCCATTTTTCATACATCCCGCCACCTACTTCCAACTCTCCTAGTTAAATTCCTGATCCGTCACTTCCCTCCACACTCTCCTGTCCATTCACAGTCCAGCTGTTGCCAACCACCTTGGGAATCGACATCTCCCCTCATCGGCCAGGCGATTCTATCCCATCGCCAAATTCTATATTCTTTTCTTTAGCTTTATTTCTTTTATTCTTTTTAAAAAACAAACATACAAAGATACTTAATGTCAAACAGAACACAAACAAAAATGGGGGATACATATAACAACTATACATCATGGAGGGTAAAACATTACATTTTACAAATAACATGTTTTAATATGAGAGACGTTTTTATAAATGTCTTGTCCCTAGAGATTGAAATCAATGAGTCATCAAATATTTTAAGTTCTTTACAAAAAAACTTAAAAGGGGGAGTAATAGACATTATTTTTGCTTTACGTAGGCCTACATGGAACTTCATCTGATCCAGTATTACAGTTAAAAAAAGGATCATAGATTCATCTATTTTAATTATTCTATAAAATATATAAAAAACCAACATAGATACCTGCTTCCAAAAGTCTTCAGTATGTTTTCAGTTACAAAATAAATGTGTGTTTCATTTTCTAAACTACAAAAGGAACATTTTGGTGAGACATCTTTTCTAAACTTGTTAATAAATGTGTTACAGTGATAGTACCTATGCAATATCTTAAAATGTATTTCCTTTGCCTTATTTGGTAGTAAAAATGTATTAGTTGCTGACCATATTTTCTCAGTGGAAGGTATGGATAAGAATTGTTTCCACTTTATGAGTGCTTTTGGGTGACAGCTGGCATCACGAGTAAGACATGTTCTAATATGTGAGTTATTACACTTAATATCCATGATATTAATACCTCCAATAACAAGATTTGGAATTTGTCGGACAGCTGAATTATAACAGAAGTATTTTCACACGGTAAAGCAATTTAGGGCAAATGCTTTTCACAACCAAATTATAATCTCTACAGGAACATCCAATCCCTGAGAAAGAAACACATTGCTGATAAGTTTAAATCTCACCGTTATATTCAATAAGTCTGAAATAAATATAATTCCCTTATCAAACCATTCTTTTTTAAATATACTATTGTTTTTAGACAACACAAATTTTGTCAGACTCTGTTCCATGTTTTGTCTGTGTCTTGCTCCCCAGGTGTTCCTTTCCCATGTTTAATTTGTCCCAGGTGTTCCCCATGATGGTTCATTGATCCCAGGTGTGTCTCATCATCCCCTCCTCCTGTGTGTATTTAAAGTGTTCCCAGTCCCTAGTTCTCTGTCCGCTGTGAACGTTTTAGTGTAAACGTCTTCCTGAGTTCGTCTCCCTTGGTTCCTGTAAATAAAGTCTTATCAACATATTCTCTAGCATCTCCTCGTCCCTCGTGTGTGTGCAACGTGACAGAACAGCGGACCGAACAGTAAGCTGCATCCCTTCCCCGTGTTTGATTTCCGGTTTTTGTAAGTTTTTGTTTTGCCCTTTTCAGCAGATTTCAACCAGCAGAAATACAGTGTTTCAGTGAGTACTAATCTGAACACCTCTTGGCTACTGCATACATAAGCTCAACAGAATCGTTTGTGATTGGTTATAATGCGCAATGCTGTAAAAAACGAAATATGAAGCAGCATGAGCAGACATAAATTTAATGCCACAATTGACACTTTTCATTTAATTTTCACTTTATTATACGCCACAAAAGAAAAAAAAGAGGGGAAATGTGCAAAAGATCACTCATCTTACTAAAAAAGGCTAATATTATCACTAATGGTATGGTGTTTTGCTTGCCCGTTATTACACATAGATCAACAACAATCAATTTCTGTCCAACTTCAAAAATAAAAAAAAATTAATTTTTTGGGGGGGTATGGTATTTGTACATTTATTTGGCTGAATTTGTCAAAGTTGATGTAAACTGAATTTCCTTTAGAGGAGGCAGAAGGCTTTGCCCAGAGCTCCACACAAGCTAGAGCTGCCACTGTGTGCCATTCTTCTTCTACAGTATTATACTGAACTGACCAGCAACTTCAGTGATTAAGAAACACTCTTGATGTGTGATTCAGTTGCAAATTATGCCAAATTATAGAAAAGTTTGTGTTTTTTAAGGTATTTTGTGACTTTTCTGGATGATTTGATATTTTATAATAGTGAATTTATAATTTCAAAACATGAAGCAAAAAGTAAAAATGAATGACTAATAAGCCAATAAGTGCTCCTCTGCTGCTTTCTACTGGTTAAAGTGGTAACTTGATGTATTATTTATTTTTAAATATTTGTTTGTTTACCACAAAATGTATTTGGTTATCCCATAAAATAACATTTAAATTGGATCATTTTTAGAGCTTTAAAGTGCTGTAAATTGTTGTGTTGTCATTGAAAAGTGCTTGAATTTCTCTCTCAAAAGTTTGAACAAACCCTGAAATTAATGAGGTAATAACATTTGACTATTTCACCATGGTATCTGTAGTTAGCATTACTTCTGGTTTTCTACATCAGGGCTGTTTGTTCTGTTTATAACAGATAATTCTGTGCAGAATTCAAGCGCTTCTCTCTGGATCTCGCAGCAGTAACGGTGTCGCGAGATCAACACTGGTTCTGTTCTGAGCTCTGGTCAGTTTGCACGTGTTTGCGCTGCGCTCAGTTATTGGTCCGAGCTGATGTGAACGTCTTCCTGTGTTCGTCTCCCTTGGTTCCTTGGTGCAAATAAAGTCCTGTCAACATATTCTCCAGCGTCTCCTCGTCCCTCGTGTGTGTGCAACGTGACAAATTGGTTATTCCATAGTATGCATGTGTGTGTGGAGAAAAATAATGCATAAAGGCTATTTTCCATGCGTCTACACTGCATGCCTGTATATTTACATCACAAGTACATCTGCACTTTGTTGTTTATGATGAGTGAATTCACTGCAAAAGAGCAGAATTCAACCAGCAGAAATACGGTGTTTCAGTGAGTACTAATCTGAACACCTCTGATTGGCTACTGCATACATAAACTCAACAGAATCGTTTGTGATTGGTTATAATGCGCAATGCTGTAAAAAACGA